TTAATAGAAAGGTTATGTCGAGCGTGATTTTACTCTATAGCTGTTTCACGATGAGCAATCTTCAGGAGTGAGTGGATAGGAAGATAATGAAGGTATATATGAGGTTCAGCAGGTGTATAATGTTAATTGTGTTACGTACTCTTGAGTAGGAATTTGTTTCTGTGTCTGCATTTTGGAAGCAGCTCTTTTCATTTGTTTAAAGTTGATGGTTTGTTTGAATAAATTATGTGAAATTTCTCTGTAAGGCAGAGATTGCAGCGTTTTGTTTGTGTACTGTATGCCGTAGCTTTGTCAATTGAATTGGGAGTTACTTTCTTTAAGTTTCCTTACATATTTTGATGATTCGGTGCTGTTCTTATGCTTCGGAGAGCTAAATGTGTGCTTATGATGTGTAAATCTGGTTTTGAATGTGTTGTCTGTGAGTCCGATATACCCTTTGACGTCATCGTTCGTGGTTACGGTGGCTTTGTAGATAATTAAAGATGCGGGGCAGTTTCCTGATAGGGGCATTCATTTGAGTAAAGCTGATGAAGGCCAGAGGACTGGCCGAAAATTTCTCTCGAAGATAAATACAGTGTTTAATAGTCTACATGCCTTGTTGTCATAATTTTTTGTTTCAACGACTAATATATAATTTGAAAAACACACGTGGATTTACAATGAACGTGGATTTACAACAATATATATATAATATATAAATGGCCGAGCGGTAAGCAAGGGGCTCCGCAACCTACAGCCATAATATCGGCGCTGGATCTAGTGGTGGAACAAGTCTTCTCGGATAATAACTCTAAACCGTAGGTCCCGTGTATACACAATTGGCTCGTGTGCGTTTTAAAGAACCCAGTATATCCTTCGAGAAGATTGGCGGGGGTGGGGTGGGGGGAAATACCCCGGTGTACTGTTTCATACAGCCCCTGCCTCAGCGAAATATGACTGAAAGAGTATGTTGACTAAAGAAGTAGAAGTTAGAAGAATATATATATATCCCACCCCCGATGATGATGACGCCACCACTTAGATGTGCGATAGTATGTGGCTAATTACTACACTTTCCATATAGGCCTAGGCTAATTAATATAAATAAAAATCTTAATTTTCTTATTTTAGTCGCTGGTCCCCTCCACGGTTAATGACTGCCTTGTTTGTTCTTTCGTTTCTGGCTGCCACTCATGCTTGTAGCGATCTTGGAACATACTGGGAAATAAACTATAAATTATGTGAGGTTGTTAGAATAATTTACGTTTGGGCTTAAGTTTACCACGTTCCAAAAAGTATAACAGCGGCGGTATCTCTTCCACAACACATTTCAAGGGGTATATGTTTAGATCTAGGCCCCTAAAAAGGCACAGAATAACACCTTTGGAGTTAAAATAACTCCTTAAAAATAACAGTGTAAATAGAGTAACAAAACACAGTAAATTAAACAAAATACATAACAGCGAGACGGAATTCGTCGGCCCGATAGAATAGAATCCAGAAATGTAAGGCCAGGGTAACCGAGGCACTTGCCCTGGTTACCCCGGCCCCTCGGCGTCACTGTCTACACTGCTCTTTGTCTAAGTTGAGCTTTTGTTTGACTTCTAAACAATATTTTAAATTGTTCGTTATCAAGATAACTAATGTTTGGTAAGTCTGATTGGTTTCAAAATCCTACTCATCAGTTCTCAGATCAAAATCACACCACTATGGGGAGGCTATGCTTTTACTGTGTAGCGTAAAAGGTGCATTTCTAGTTATATACTGTTACTAGTACATCTTTTAATTTTGATTGCTTTCTACAGGGAACATCTCTCCCAGCAATCTACGTTATATTGGGAAAATGGAGTGTTCCCGACGAACGTACTACGATGGTATCCATTTGTTTTAGTGGTAAGAAAACATC